TGCAATATGAGCAGTCATGGCTATCCCCGGTGTATCATGGAATCACATAACAAATATTTCAGGATATCACACTTGATATATCATCGGTCAAGGGAAAAGATATACTGTCCATATCCACCAGCGTGAACATTAACGGTGATGGTGAAGGCTGTACTGGTTAACTGTCTCTAAGTGTTTAGTAACAAGAACAGCTCCCATCGCGCATAAGACATGCGCTGTCAGTTTAAGGTTGGACCGTCCGGATAAGCGCTCCAAGCGGATTTAAGCGAAGGGAATATAAATTCAAAAAGATCGCCCATTTAGATGCTTGAGAGACTTTGAGTTGACTTTTAAACACATTTTTCGTTTGATTGGGCTGAAATTAGTGCTGTCGGCGGCATTTTGTAAAATAAACCAAATAATTTTTGTTTCGTCGGAAGGAAAATTTGGGTCGGTCGGGAGAGGAGAAACACAGAAAAAAATACGAAAGGCCTTACAGGCAGTCCTCGCAGCATAGCGGTGACGCGAACTTGCTCAGTCGATTACTTCAGTCCTGACCGCTAAATGTTTACGTGTTAATTATGAACTTCTTAAATCAAACTTGTCTCGAAACAATCGTAGAGAAGAGGTTCTTTTAACCAGACATCGTCTTGGGCATTGTGATCTTGGTGTAAGTCGCCATGAAGTTCAGAATGTAATTCTTGCTTATATTAAAGCGTGAGGCAGCGTTGCTATTTCATGAAATTTTAACTTCACAGAGCTGTATGATGGGCCTAGTTATCCGAATACCTATTAAACATTCTATGATCCAATCATCATTACCTCTAAACGCACAATGTACCGCTTAACATTAACGATAAAAAGTGTCTTTCCACATTGTTTCATTTGATTATTTTATGCCAGTAACCATAACAACTATAAAGTCAGTCTCCACTGTCGTTTTGTCGTATTTTAACTAAACATTTCCGTGGAAGACAACAAACCGAAACATGAGTCTCATTAACTTATTCAGACAATGACCTACATGTACTTTTCAGGCGATCAGAATTTTCTCATGTGAAAGTGAAAAGAGACACCACAAACAACTATGGTTACACCGAATATCAATTCCTTGTTTCATAGGAAATGGTATTTACAAGTTAAGTTTAATTTTAAACTTTAATAACATGGTATTTCTTTATTTTATGGCGAGATGTAGGCAGCATGACCATAAAGGTCACATGCAACCAAAAAATCAAACATAATTAAAACACAATTATCACTTATTCATGACATATAATATACATTGCTGGTTATGAAAAAAATATATAAACAAAATTATAAGCGTACAATCGCAAATCGAAAGTGCAAAATTGTGTACTTCGGTTTACTTCCCAAGAAACGAAGCAGCCGGGATACCGAACCCAGTCAGAGCGGGTGGGTGTGCACTCAAGTGTAACGACTGGTTCATTTGCAGACGCCTTCACGGATAATTGTGTGTATATATAGAGAGAGATGTTGGGTTTTGTAAATACTGTACATGCTACTTTTTTGTGTGTAACATTTTGCAATCAACAGACAAGTATCACACCTGCCTGTCTGTGTAATTGCATAATGTGACAGAGACCGAACTCGGGCCATAAATCAATGCATTATGTTTATGGTGTATAGCCTGATTGGTGTTAAATTCAAATTGCATGTGGTCAGTGATAGCAGCTGTGTATTGAATATTGCCATTAGCAGACAGGCAGGCAGACACACAGGTGTCAATAAAACAAGACATTGAGTTTTGTCTGTGACAACGACATATCTATATCACAGTCAGAAATTCTGTCAACGCTAAATAATGACATTGCTTTTAAGTATCGAACTGAGAAAGTGTCTCGGTAAGAAGAACGTGTGGTGAAATAGACAAATGAAATTATATAAACAGTTAATTTACTGTCATAACATATAAAAAGCTCGCGCCTGTGAGATATCAACAAAACATTAGAAAAATAGCTCACACCAAAGCCTTCACCGAGTATTCACCCGACAACCCGCTTCCAAGCTGCGTGAACCTATTTACTTGCGCACGTGCTATGAGCGCAGCCCAGCTGTTGAAACCCGTTTTCCCCAGAAAAGTCTGGGGAAAATTAGTGAAACGTTTGAACTCCGATTTCGCGCGTTTTTTTTCATCGCGTTATTTTTCAACTTTATAAGTTGAATTTGCATTATGTCCATACCGAAAGGTGTCAGAATCTGCAAAGTTGTGTTTTACGTTGCATGTGACCTACTAAGACGTCACTGACGCCCCTGCTTGATGAGGTCGTAAAATGATTCACACGTCATCTGGCTCACTGGTTACACCTGTTATGCGTTGTAACGCACAATGTGATTGGTGTATTATCAAGTCCGTACCAGCAGAGACCATATAATATATTATAATATATTATATGGTCTCTGGTACCAGACCGCCGAACATTTCTAGCGGCAGAGCCTCGTTTTGAGATTTGCACGATTTCCAGATTTCCGTTTGACAGAGCACGATGCACGACGTGTTTGCAACGATCAGAAAGGGCGTAGTCTTGCAATATACAAATGCTTACATGTATCAAATACAACTGATTAATATCTATGTATCCAGTTGAATGAATTGGTCTAAAATTTCTGGAATGGTTATTGTACTACGTTGCGCAATGGGACGGAACCCAGTCAGCAGGAAACGAGACTGTTGGGTAATCAATGTTTTGACTTGAAGTCAATAAATAGCCTCGAGCGAAAATCTGTATAGTTGGGGCAAAGTGTATGTTTCAGAATTATCCAAACAGATTTCGTTTGTTTTCAAATTTGCGGTCTGGTACTAATTTAAAATAGTTACGTGTATGCGACAAGAGTGTAAACTAAAAGTTCGCCGTCATTTACTTGAAGTCCACATACCGTTGGTTTGTTTCTTGTTAAGGCCGCACTCAGCAATATTCCAGCTATATGGCGGCGGTATGTAAATAATCGATATTGGACCAGACAGACCAGCGATCAACAGCATGAGTATCGATCTACACAATTGGGATACGATGACATGTGACAACCAAGTTAGCGAGCCTGACCACCCGATCCCGTTTGTCGCGTTTTACAAGCATGGGTTGCAGAAGACCAATTCAAACCTGGATTTTCACGGGTATCACAATGAGAGAAAATGAAAGAAAATGAGAAGTTGCTCCATGTATATTTGTTCAAGGGACTCAAACATTGGGTGAGCTTCAGAACGTTCTCTATATCACGGCAGTGAAGCACCAAGAATGAAATTAATGCATGTCACCCGCATGACCCTGTACATATGAATATACGACATCACACCAGACTCCGACGAGCAATTACAACTCAGTATATGTAGCCGTTGATGTATAAAGGGCTGTGCACATGTACATAGCATGCTCTTTACATTGACAAATAAAACTTTACAATTAATCGAATACAACTATACAAGCTAAACTTTATAGAACTGTGGAAACAAAAGTCGATGACAGAATAGAACATAAAAGAAGTTTATTCTCATAAAAATCACACAAAGTGATATAGAGAACACACAGTAAAATTTTAAAAAGACACATACATTCTTTTATATTTTTTCTCATACAAGTATAATTGGATTACAATCGCAATTCATAAGATGCACAAATGTGGCAACAGTTGGATTTGAACAGTGATATTTAGGTAGATAGGTTCGACGTTGAGAAGAGAGAGTGATGAACAGACAAGTAGAAAGTGGAATTCGTCACAGACATCTATAAATTACATAATGTACAGAATATATTTTCCCTTATTACATTTACCCAGCGTCCAGCTTCAATTGGAAGTCGGTGATTATTTGCTCTTAAATTTGTAATCCATAATCTAAGATAGGTAGTTTCAATAAGTATGGTTCTAATTTTAATATATGTTACACGGCACTTTCTGCATATTACAAGCGTATTGTCAAAACATGGAGGGGTCCCCCTTTCAGCAATTGTAACAAGTGATAGAGGCTGAAATGAAATGTTAAGAAAAATATGTAAACTATATTCAACCTGTCCTATATGCATGGTATATAATTGGATTGAGTGACAGAGATTTTCACAGATTTCCCCACTTGGAAGACGCATGCATTAAGATAAACAAAATTCCCCCTCCACTTGTCTAAAATCACATTTACCCATTCAAATTGTCGAACTGAATATAATTAAGAGTAGTTCCAGTGGGAAAATCCGACAAACAACGAGCTGCATGTATTACTGGGTAGATCAGCTTTAAAGAACCACTAAACTTTGTTTTTTGTTACTCTTTTAACCATTACATATGAAAGATTTGTGGTTAGTCTTATGCGGAACGCCAAATTTATTCTTTAAAAACTTGTGGTTAATTACTACCGAGCGATTAAAAGTGGCCAAAAAAGTCGCCTGCTTCCCTCTCGCCCGCCAACGAAACCACAGACAGGTTACGTAACTCTGTCACAAGAAATGCCAAATTGGAACCTTTGTCGGGTAATCTAAGTGTGTTACCACTAATTATACCTGTTATAAATTCATTAACTGACCATCAAGTGAATGATGACAAATAACATGTGTAGGTTTATACCACCTAACACGGGTTACAAGAAGGGAGTATTAATTGCTGTATTGCATGTGAAAACTTATGGGCCGACACTGTTTTGAGAATACAAACAGATTTTTACATGACATGATTAAATATCGAGGTAAAAAAACACAGAAATGGGATCGATTTGGATCAGTCATTATACAAATAGGGCCTAACGACACCAATCGATTTTGACAGAATCGTCTATGAAAACAAGTTGTAACTCGGAAACTAAGCAAAGCAGGAGACAAAATTAAATGACAGTAGATTGTGAGAACATATAGCTTTTATTTTCCACAACAATTGTCACGATTTAAGGTTTATACAAGCCTGTAAACAAGATAATTTTACCCCTAAAATGTAGATGAATTCTGCATCGGCCCTCAAAGCTATTCCTCATATGACGTCACAGAGGCAAACCGCTCTGATTGGTTGAAATTTCGTTCGCGGGTGAGAATTGTGCACTGTTGTCAAAAAGGTCGATTTAAGTCAATTAAAGGTCGAAATGAGTAGTTTTAATGACGGGGTTTCATTTATAACGATGCCAGTTAGTGATTTATCTTCTTTCAATGACCTTCTGGATCTTGGTTTGCTTTATCAGATGTTTCTGGGGTTGCTTGTCCCTCTTTCATCCGCACCAAAATCTTTAGGAACCTGCAGTTTCAAGGTAGACATATTATAACGTATGGTTGGTTGGTTGTTTAACGCCGCACTCAGCAATATTCCAGCTATATGGCGGCGGTCTGTAAATGATCGAGTCTGGACTAGACAGTCCAGTGATTGATATATCATGAGCATCGATCTACGCAATTGGGAACCGATGACATGTGTCAACCAAGTCAGTGAGCCTGACCACTTCTCCCTTTAGTCGCCTCTTACGACAAACATGGGTTGCTAAAGACCAATTCTAACCCGGATCTTCACGTGTCTATAACGTATGAACCTGTATATGTCATTCATAAACGTCGGGACATCGAGGTGTTTATGTTTCAATTCCATTGAGCAACATATATATGTTGGTGTTATAAATGGTAACAAGATCCAATTTCGTTTGATTTGTATATTTTCTTCATGGTGACGCTTCATATCTGAGATCCTTACGTTTCAATTTTTTCATCCAGCCAATCTTTGTGCTTCAGCTTTGACACCCATGACACCGGAAGTGCAGACATTCCTAACTTACAGCCTAGGAGAGCTCCAGCTACAGCACCATTGGTGTCAGCATCGCCTCCCTGAAAAAGACAAAACATTCTCGAATAAAAATCAAGCACCACTCGCCCCTTTCCGTAACCTCAAAGACGACAACAAACCATTTAGAACGTGCGTTCTGATTACGGTGCTTTGAAATAATTCCCAGTACTTAAATCGTTCATGGCATTATGTGATTGTTTTAAATCATTCTGGAAAATATGTCATATTGAACGTAACTAACAGAATTGTGGTGCATCATGTGAAGTTTTTAATAAGGGTAATGCCAGGGACAGTTAGAGATTCAAATACACGCACGTGCGTTTGTTTTTATAACGGCTTTCATGGGTCGAATTGAGTGTAATTCTGACGATCTTGCGGGCTTGTTTTGGAGATTGTCTGTGCGCTTTCCAACATTTTTAGGGAAATATAATTATATTTCGATACGAGTTTCAAAAGAATAATATCACATCCATATATAACTAATCAACTTCAATCTTTAACATTGGGGTTACATGTCACATTTTTGGGAATATCTTAGACTTTTTGGAGGTTATTCAAAACATTTTCAGTGTATTCATTCCACCAGAGGTACGACAATCAAGTTTAAACGAATGTTCAGTTTGAGAAATATTTTAAAGTCAGTTTTGAGTATCTGCTTTGGGATTTATTGTTGCTGAAAAAAGATTATTTATTTATGTTCAATAAAACAAGTCCCATTTGTAATTCTTAAACCCTAATTAGAAATATACATTTGGGAATATAAGGTGATAATCATTACGTTAGAATGTATGTTTAACAAATATTTTTTTCTCTTCTTTTAGATGCATCAAAGAGGTTAAATTCTTTAAAATAAATAAATAAAACCAAAAATAGCAATACAATATACGAGTGTTTCGGTGATTTTAAGTACCATTTGAATCAAACAGGAATAGAGTTATCGTTCTTGTTTGAAGTAGTTTTGATGTTCATACGCCAAAATGAAATCCTTCCAAAGTCACACGAGTCTCTATTCTGCTTGTCTCGCAATAACACAAATTAGTCACAAATGGGAGGCTCAGTCATGGTGTGGAGTGGCGTTTCGGATGACTGCAAGTTGGATATTATTAAAGTACCTTGGGCACTAAATGGTCAAAGTTATCATCAGGAACTATTGGATACCGCCGTCGTGCCACATTGTAATAACTATCCCTTGCCAATTGATATTCACGGATGATAATGCTAGACATCACCGTTCTCAAGCTCTCATGGCCGATTTGTAGACTGTTCACTCGGAAAAACACTTAACTAAATTAGCATAACAAATCTACTTCACTGCATTTCGAAGACAACATGTTGTACTCATCAGTCTGTTTGGTGTGGATGTGTATTAACGAGCACGTTGGCTAAATTATAGCGTATGATTGAACATCATTTCAAATATACCAAGGCATGTTAGCATGTTTGAGAAAACCGGAAGCGACGTACGTCTTAGATGAGCAACAAACGAAGCGAATTAAAGGTTCCTATACTTTAACGTTCACGAAATCTGCATATAATGAAAAACAAGTTCGCATATCATACCACTTCAAAAAGCTCAGAAACCCCGAAATGAAATGTAATCACGTGATTTAACCAGGGAACAACGGTTTCTTGCATGCGTGAGAGACATAACCGCGCAGTGCGGCGCCTTGGATGACTCGAATATCATTACTCAAATAATGTACATTTAGGAATAAGGACAGACCTCCATAACGATTGTCTGCAGTGCCTTCCTGAAGTCCTTCTGCTTCAGAGCCCAGAGCCCGCAGCCCATACACTTGTAGGTGTACCCGATCTTTCCTAACTCACACAGCTTCAGGTTTTTTATCTTCTCACATTCGAGGTACTTCTTCAGCTCCTTTTTCTGTAAGTGATAAAACATGCAAAGGTCTCACTGATATAACACTGTCACAAAGTCGCATGTGCAACATGGGTACGTGTACATAAAATATTCCGAGGACGTCCTCAGATGCCTTAGGGGTGGTGGGGAGCCTTGAGGTTAAAGCGTTCGCTCGTCACACCGAAGACCTGGACTCGATTCATGACATAGGTAAAACGTGTAAAACCAATTTTTGTGTCACACCCCCCGTCATATTGCTGGAATATTGCTAACAGCCACGTGAAACTCCAACTCACTCACTGGGTGGTCAGGCTCGCTGACCTGACTGACACATGTCATCGTATCCCCATTACGTAGATCGTTGCTCATAATGTTGATCACCAGGACTCCATTATTTACAAAGCGCCGCCATATAGCTGGAATAATGCTGAGTGCGGCGTTAAACAACATCCAAACAACCAATTAAACACATATACTGGGGCTGTTAAATCAGAACTAAAACATAATTGCTTCTCACCTGCTCGTCTGTCTCCAGACACTTGGAAGAAGCCACATTGAAGCACTCCTGTATAATCTTGTCGATGTCGTAGTCGCCGTTCTTCTTGAGGTGCTGGGGCTGCCTCCTCAACATCAGGCTGATGGCGACGGACACCGCCACTGTCGAGGCCTGACACCTACAGTGAAATACAGACATTAGTATTAATTTTAGGTAAACGTTGTTTCATAAAACGTGTAATATAGCGTTGCAACCTGATGTAGTGTTTCAGACTAAAACACCCCCGAAACATTCAAGTACATTCAGTTTTCGTAATTCGTGCAAGAAACGTGGAACCGCTTCAATATACCGGAAGTGCACTTAGGACCGTAGTGGTTGGCGCCATCTATGAGCAAGTGGTTGGGGAATATTGGTTGGTTTGTTGTTTAACGCCGCACTCGGCAATATTCCAGCTATATGGCGGCGGTCTGTAAATAATCGAGTCTGGACCAGACAATAGAATGATCAAGAACATGAGCATCGATCTACACAATTGGGATAGGATGACAACCAAGTCAAGGAGCCTGACCACCTGATCACATTAACGGCCTCTTACTGAAGATCAATTTTAACCCGGATCTTCACTCGAATCCACACCCGTTTCTCATTGTAACGCTGCCGGTAACCACTACAAATATAATACTAGTTTCTGCATGACTGTCACAGTATATTGACAACTGTTACATCTATTTTGTTAAAATGAACAGCACTAACCTGGGGTCATAATGGCTTGTCTTACATATAGCAATGGCGTTGTCAGCCACGGCGTCAGTGTCCCAGTACTGGTGTATCCCTAGAATTGACGTCCTCATGACGGCGCCATTAGGAGCGATCTGTCTACGGTTGGCCTCCCAAACATCAAATGATGCCTGAAAAACGTGAAGTACACTTTCCTTACAGATAATGGTAAGTTCACGTGTCATGCACCATTCCATGCAACTCTTGATTCCAATATCGTGAGTGAGTTTGGCTTTACGCCGCTTTTAGCAATAATCCATGCAATTCTTAACATATCTGTATTTACTTTTTAAATACAGGGTATCGTAGTTGCGAGGTAAAGTGACGCTTTAGAATTAATGAATGTGGGCTTTCGCCGCCTGTAGCAATGATCCAACAATATCACAATACTGGACATCAGAAATGGGCGTTGTACCCATGTATGTGTCGGTAGGGAAGGGTACACCCGACATGTTTGTGTCGGTGGGGAAGGGTACACTCGACACATACATGTAATAGAAGGCACCTGTCTACTCATTCGTGTAAAAATAGCAGATAGATTGGATAAAAAATATGACCTAATTTGATTAAATAATCTAAATTTTCATTTTCAAATAACCACACATGGGGAATTCCGTAACTTCTCTCATCATACAACTTTTAGATCGATTACATTGTATTTATGTATGAAGCATCAATAAAATGAAACAGAAACACGAGTGCGCCGCCTCTAACGCTGAACAGGCCTTCATCAGCTCATCTTGCCCATCAAACACGCACCAAAGGTTAACCACGTTCACATCAACCACGTTCATCATTTCAGCATCCGCCGGCTCTGGATTTCATTCAAGTTCCACTTTTACCAGGTACAACTTCTATTTCAACTGAATGAAGACGCCATTTTGTAACGTTTGTACTATAGTCCGTTTGGCTCAAAATTGGACCGATGAATTGCAATCTAACTCGAAACCTAATAAGCATATAATACTCAATGAAACCCTGATCATTATCAAAACATCAGACCAACTCTGTGATTTTTTAAAAGAATTTATGTCCGAAAAATAAATAAGTTGTTTAACAAACTATCATTAAAATTTTGACACAGTTCACTATTTGTTACGAGGGAGGAGTTCAAAGAGAGGAACAGCCTGGTGTACGTGACGCACGCGCACAAATGCCGACAAAGTTATTGATTCATTAATGTGCTGTGCCGGTTCCATCCTTTCTCGCACACCTGGCTGTTCTTCTCTTTGCACTCCTCCCTCGTAATAAATAGTGAACTGTGTCAAAATTTTATGATAGTTTGTTAAACAACTTTTTAATTTTTAGGACATAAATTCTGCGAAAACCTCATAGAGTTGGTTTGATGTTTTAATTATGATCCGCGTTTCATTTAGAATTATATGTATATTAGTTTTAGAGTTAGATTGCAATTCATCGGTCCAATTTTGAGCCAAACGGACTATAACATGGAACCAAACCCCGAAAGGGATATTTGAGACAGCTGTCATCAAGACAAAAGTTATTCTCTGTACTAATATAGTTAGCTTTAACTATTTACGTTTGATGTTTGAAAGCATTGTTTTGTTTTCATTCATGTGACTGTCAAAGTATGGACTGAAGCTGTATTAGTTGACGTTCATCAGCGGATGAAGATAGTGCCTCACGTGGACAAATTGTCCACGAAACGCTGATGAAAATAAGGCTACCTGTGGAAAGATGAATATACTTTTCAGTGTTTACCACTAACTTTATGTGGATTCTTGGGGGTACTCGGGGTGAGACAGGACTGCCTTGGTTGTTCTCCCAAGACCCATTCCCCGCTCATCATTCAGTTCCGGGAATCCTTTCTTTGACCAAGTCTTCAACTTGCCACCAAAATCTGCAGGTATCACCTGAATAAGGCGCAGGAGATAATAATGTATGTACATTACAGTGAGTGAGTGAGTTTGGTTTTACGCTGCTTTTAGCAAATTTCCAGCAATATCACGGGACACCAGACAAATGGGCATCACACATTGTACCCATGTGGGGAATCGAACGCGGGTCTTCGGCGCGACGAGCGAACGCTTTAACCATTAGGCTACCCCACCGCACCCGTACATGACAGAAACTCACATAATAATACATGCATTGTCCTAATTTTCAATATCATAAAAAGACAGATGAAATACGTTTCAAGCTGCATGTACCTCCTCTGCACTCTGCATTACTAAATAGACTAACATCGGTTCTAAATGGACACAAACACATACAAATTCCTAAATTATATTAATAAACTGTAATAAAAAGAACCCTGAGACTTCCTGAAACAGCGGTATTCTAGACAGGCCACATAGCCTGCAATCGCCTGGGCAGTATTTGGTATATCTGTTTCAGGGTCTGCATGACTGACTACACTAGTGAAGAATAACTGTAAATAAACGACCACAAGAACCTGGGGATTCACAGAATGAACACAGTGTATATGTGGACATAATTATGATGACAGTACACATTGATTGCTCTGGTATTCTATCATATCTGTGTAAATAATGGACTTGTGTATATGTGAAGCTGATCTCATCGCTACATGGCTGAAATAATGCTGATGCGAAATGGTAATTTTCGCAGTACTTCATTGCCTAATATGGCACAGATTAATCAGAATTTACGTATATCCCACCTGTACAGCATTATCTACAACACTGATATTATCACACCTGTGCGTCATCATCAGTAAATGATCGATAACCATAAAGAGCGAATGTCTCACCTGTCCATCATTGTCTGTAAGGGACTGCAGGATGAGTATCATCTGGTCCGTGTCATCGGTCCAGTCTCCCTCCTCCCAGGCCTTCCTATGGGAGTCCACACACAGATCCTTGTGTTCCAACTCCAGCTGCTTCTTCACCTTGCCGTAGTACTGCAAGAAAGGAAACATTATTCAGCTAATGGATCCACTTCAAATCTAAACCTATAAACTCAACAAGGAGATAACAGGGATACAGACTTAAACAGTTAGCGACATCTACCGGTACGTTATTTTTTTATAAATGGCAAATCGACAGCTCCAACGGCATTCATCAGGTACCAACACATACGAAAACTACAACAGGTTCCTTGTTCACAACACACAGTTTATGAATGCGCTTATGCGACATTTTGAGAGCCTTTTCCAATGGCAGATTGGTATTTCACTACTATTTACAAAATGTACATCAAAATTTGAAACCTAACCAGTCCCGATTAACAGATTTCATTGGACGCGAAAACAGAAACGTGATGAAATATATAGAATGCACAAAAGAAAATGTATTATTGCATGGTGGTTTAACCAACCCACCCCCATCCCCACGTGCACCCCCTTCCCAACATATTTACGCTTTATTAAAGATTTTAGTATTCGTGAAATGTCGGGTCTCTAACATTGAAAAGGTAGCTTCAGATAAGAAGATATGACCTACAACTCTTCAAGATGCACTGTGTCGGTAGCAGAGTACTTTGATCGACCAATACGATCTGGTGGCAATCGCAAAACCATTTTATGAATGCTTCCCCATAGTATTGTTTATACCAATAGTTTGTACAAGCTACTGAAAAATATATTTTCTCAACAGTTATAATATTGTTTGACGAGTATGTACAAGCGAAGGGTATCGGTTGGTGTGACGTTTCCAGTGACATTACGCAGCATCAATACGCTAGCATGCACTAGGTGCCATGCATTTAAATGAACGCGCAGAGTTAAAGCGACTGCTTATTGAAATAGAACAAAGCTCACCTCCTTCGCCTCCTGTTTTGTGAGGAACTCTGTCAGCAGCCCAATAGCATCCCCCACAGCCTGGCCGTAAACAGTGGCCAGGATCTGCTCCCGGGGGTAGCTGGCCGTGTCCTCTTTACGGGGTGCCTGTAATACATTCAAGATACTTCCGTTACTATGGATACATGTCACTGGTAAATGCAGAAGAAGGGCGGGGTGTGGGGAGGACATGCAGGTGGTGTCAACATCTGTATGGGTATTTATATAGTGCAGTCTGCCAGCGCCCCATCCCCCGTCTTTGATACACTTTAGAACGTGGGGTAGCCCAGTGGTTTAAGCGTTTGCTCGTCACGATGAAGACCCGGGTTCGATTCCCACATGGGTACAATGTGTGAAGCCCATCTCTGGTTTCCCCCGCCGTGACATTGCTGTAGAAACCAGCCAGACAAACAAAAAGCACCAAAAACGACCTAATCTCAGACATACCCAAGCCATCACCCCTAAACCACCACTAACCATACATTTTATCTATAATACATATTTCACAGCAGCCAGCAACAGGAATCTCTAGAATGGACGACAATAGAAATTGTGGATTACTAAAATATACACGTGTTTTTTTTAAGTTTCCTCGGTTGCATTATGTGCACAATAAACTAAAGTCAATAAACCGTCGTGAGTGTCATCATATCTCACATTGTGGGAATTGCATCTCGTGAGGCCAGTCACTGGATTATTTAGTCCAGTACCCAGTACTATGATTTATACAGGACTTCATATATATTTAAAACATTGCTTAAGTGGTGCAAGCAAAAACACACTAACAAATCATCTCTTTGAAACGTAGATTATTGACTTGTTGTAGACTTAAATGTAAGCAGCGGAATGGCAATGGTCACGTGACCTCACAGATAATATTTATGCGTTCGGGATTATATATGTTGTGCCGTTGATGCATCTGACTGTTTCTGTGGAAATACACAGTATATCAAAGAATGTTATAAGACTGCAGGGAGTATGCGTTCGGGTATGGAAATCAAAATGGTCAAATGTGATCGACATGGTCTCTAAACGTTTTCAGACCCTCAGGCCGTTACAAGCTGATGTCTGTAAGCAAGACACTTTCCTTCTGTCAACAACAACAGGGTGCAAGTACACGGGCCAAGGTCGGGGACAGAGCCCATGACGTCACGCCGACAAGACAATCGGTAGAGCAGCCGATCTTCAGCTGAGAGATTTGCGCTTGGACAGGAAGAGGGTGGACTAGACTTATCCAACGCACTTAATTTTCAAGTCTCTTAATTCTTGTTTTCAGGTCACCGTTCATAAAACTTGCAACAAACATCCGTTGTGACTCATTATGCAGGAAAATACAAGTATGGCTCCGCAAACACCCGAGGTAGTTTTAAAACTTAGCCCCATTGGTGAGGTATTTTTCCCTGGTCTGAACAGAAAATATATTTTCAGCGTTCAGGAGGAATCTGAAATGGGGGGTCAAGGAAAGTTCAGAAAGCCGTTTTTGTCCCTTTGCATACATTTCTGCTTTTAGAAGCGTCTTAATTTACTTGTAGTGCGGATATACTTTTACCTGCATAATGAATAAACATCTAGAGCTATCAATAAACACAAGCGACATTGGAATTATGTGAGAGCTCTCTATTTAATATGCTGTTTTTCGACTATTAACTGTAGACTTCTACGTTTTGTAAAACGGAAATTTTGTGTCATTGTTTAAAGGCTTTTTTATCCTTAAAATATACGTGTGCTTCTTGGAACCTTCTTCAGTTGGATTGCGTATTTATCTGCACAATGAGTGTCATCATATCTCAAATTACTAGGATGACACTCGTGATGTCAATCGCTGAATTGTCCAATCTGAACTGGAATGCTATGATTTATACAGTAGAAACTCGTATATATTTCAAACAAATAATAGTACATAAACAACCACATAAAGAAACAATCACTTTGAAATATAGATATAGCCAACGAATGCTTGTATTTGATGTGTTGTTGACTTAATGTAAATTTGAACAACCGGTCGACCTTCAGTCGCCGAGTCTGCCAGGGAGCTCCATTCGAGATGCTTCACTTCCTGTGATAAAGAGTGGTCAACAAGGCTTCACCTCAATTTACAAAATTTCAGCACAACTCGAGACGCTTTACTCTCTGATATAATGGGCTCGTCCCAATGTTTCAGCTTCATTTCTAGTCTGTCTCACAGTCCCTGAACCACATTATTTTCCTTACTGCCAAGCCCTCTCTGCAGTGCTAAAGCCCTAAATAAAGCAAGTCTAGATTTGGTCTCCCTGGGACTCCTTTTCAATTTAATTGGGCTTGTTTGTCACTATCAAAATTATATATATTCAGAGACTAAGCCTACGTCCTACTTACTCTCATAATGAGTTTTTCTTTAATAGTTTTGTTCCTATTTAGACCCATCATATAAGCGATACATATGTATAAGCTACAATATCTGAGTATACACAGTATATTATGTTATAACTTAGGCACTTTTCATACCGAGACGACCGAGGTGCCTGGACATGGGTTACACACTACAACTGTCCGTGGTCACGTGGGCTCCATTCCGAGAAAGCCATGACATGCTGGACTTTCCCTGTGAAGAACCTCGTCAGTAGAAATAGGGGGTGTATTTTGCTTGCCCAAATGTTCCGAGTAGCGGGGAAAGTATAACCTTCCGCAATTATGGTGAAGTGTAAGAATGAGTTGCGGGTGCTGTCCACACCCAATGATCCCCCAGTTACCGTAGACAGGCAGTTGTAGTGTCAGCTGAGTCGTCTGGAAGTCTGATCTCGTTTGTTTCTTTATTGGTAGACAATACATAACTCCAACCTACAGTCGTAAATGGAAGAATGACCTATCTCGGTTTGACAGAGACTTCAGTCCAGTTGTCAATGCAAAGATTTCGAATTGAGTTACTGTGTAGTGCACACCATTTTCAAGAAATACAGAAAATTATTAATGATTCTATTCTAGATAGGCCACATTCTTTTTAATGAATCAGTTGGTCTTTTACAGATTCATATCCAGTCTAGACGTGTCACTATATATAATCACTAATGAATTATACTGTAATAATATAGTGTTGCTAATGTTTAAAATCTATTTCAGATACACAACTTCCTATAAATATGAGTTTTCGCATTTCACAAACTTCATTTGTCTTGTTACTGTCTTGCTTGAAACGTGATACCGTAAATAAAATCCAGCATGACGGATTGTTCATTTCGGCGTTCCTGTTTGCGTTATTATAGGCGACGCTCCATGATAGTGTTAGATGTTTGATAAAAACAAAAATATCCACAGCTACCCGTGATCACCAATAGACTATTTTAGTGATAACATTCGCCGATATTCAGAGTTCGAATTATTCGCGAAATATCGAAGTGAATGGTAATTTAGTAATATGTCAAAAATGGCGAGATTTACGACGTACTTAATTTTATGAGATCGTTTTCAGATTGATTGATTGATTGATTGATTGATTGATATATTTATTTATTTTGAATAGAACATTTTTCTATTTCACTTCAAGTGAGGACCGAATTTAAGCGTCTCTGCGGGATCCAAGGGGGTAACTTGACAAGCATAGGTTGTTAAGGACGTATCTATATTCTAACTCGCCCGGAATCATCATAGGGTCCATATAAATGTACCAAAAACATTAACACAGTCTGACGATATATTACCCAGGTTAAAATGATTGTGTGAAATACCTTCCCGATATTTGAACACATGCATTTAGCAAGTCTCAATAATGTGTTTTTATACTGGGCTGAGAATTAAGTCATACAAGTTGATACAACAAGGGAATACCGATTATCTCCCCCTGAGGAAATACAGTTGATCGCCAAAGGTTCGGATTTAAAACACCATTCATTCACTCCAGTCACATAATCTGTAATTCATCTGGTTACATATATGATACATCAAACATGGATATCATAACTAAATACTCACTGACTCTGCCATGTCTGTCGCCGACCTCCTAACTAACCACCCTCTCGTCGTGGAACTTGTTTATACTAAGTAACGTACTAAGTTGCTAAAAATAGAACGCACTCGTTTATATCCTACGTCCAGAATCGCCTTGATACCGGACAACATCGGAGTCTTTTTGCCATGCTAGATATTCAGCATATGCTAATACATATTCCAAATGACGTAACTTCACTTTTCAGCAGGATTAATACTGGAAATGGTGAATTACAAGGCATGGTTGTCGGCTTGTCGGTTTTATAGAGGGAGGTAACTGTGACGCTCCAGCGTGCATGCGTAGCTCTAGACTTCTCGTCTAGCGAACCGTTGTCAACGGGGTTATTGGTTCGACCCTACCTGCTGTGGAAGCTCAAAATATTTTTTTACCAATGCATCGTTTACTTATTATTTTATTATTATTCACGCATGTATTTTATCTGAACAGATATATGTTATTTATCTAGACCATTCGTGCCTTTGGGCAACGGGTATATTAATTATACTGTCTTCATTGAAATTGGTTTTGTTTTGATCTTCTAAGATATTATGAATAATGCCCGAATTTATAATTACATCTGAGGATAATTCAGCATAGGAATGGTAAGCAAACTTCAAATTGCATTTGTTTGATTATATACTCACAATAAAGCGCATATCCATTATTAAATCATAAAATGTGAACGCCAGAGATTTTAACCTGTCTCGTTTATCCGCGTACACTGCAGAACTGTGGATGGATCACTGGATGGATCACTGAAGATCAGTGATAACACCAGGCAGGAACATAAGTCCTTGACATTACACTCAGTGTATCAAACTGTTACTAAGTTTGTCATGGCAGGTTTAACGAAGCGTTTGAGAAACATTTTGCTTGAAAACCTATAACCTGAATGACAAACGATCTTGTCAATTGGCCAATTGATATAAAGATATCAACCGAACTCCATGTCTGGCAGCATTCTTTTCTCGTTTTTTTAAATGAGGGAGAAATCATCTGTGGAGCAAAGAAAAGACCCTATCATTCCTCTCAATTCGTTTTGTCAAATCAGCTTCAATTGATAATATCTCATAACAAAATTACTGATCGATATTGTATAAATCAAATGAAGTGTACTGACGCTTATCCGGGACACTTCTACACGGGTATATGTATTAAATAATGGATTTATTTGATAAGTTCAAAATGAACAAATAATTATTCACTCACAACTCAAATGTTGATGAGAATGTTGAACATCTTATCTCTGAGAATAATGAAATTTGCTTTTTTCTGTACATATTAAAATTTTACAATATATACAAAAATCACGTTGGGCATGCAATGCAAATTCATTTCTTACTCTCTTACTCATTGAAATAATGTACTGTTAAACCAATTGCAACTTACCCAGCCGCAGATTACATTTTACGAACTGCTGAAGAATGAATGATAGATACATAAACAAAATCCAATTTAGCAACAGTTCTTTCAGTTTTAAATTCCATAAAAGAGTGAACTCGGCATAATTTCATTTGCCTCTTAGTTTATATAATACCGTCTATGATAATGTTCACGTCTATGTGACTAGCACTTCTGGAATCTGTCTTGTCGCACTACTAATTTGTGAAAAAAACGCCATGTAATCGTCCTCTGAGAATCAAGATTTCAATTGATTTGTAGACATTAAATGCAGGATTTCCATATTGACAATTTGAATAGAATATGTGCCATTTGTAATCAAATGTATCGGACGTTAAAGAACGTAATAATGACAGTTCAACGGCCTGGTGTGTTTTTCCATACTGTTAGAAAAGTTTATAAAACATTCAGTTGTATATATTTCAAACAAACACGAAGATTTTACAACTTCAGAAATAGTGTTACCAACAACTTGACCCTTCATTAATGACGCTGGGTATATTTGATTTTATTATGAACAGCAACCGGTTTCTGTCTGGTGCGTCAAGGTTTCCGTGAGTGCAAGTAGGTTGCATTTTATATCGAGCTCTGGTAAGTGTATGTTAAAGTATGGGAGTTACGATTCTGTTAGAACTATGCTCGCTTTGTGGGGCCCTGTATAGGAGGCACGACAGTCGAAGCGCTACGACTTTGTGAAACGGGGCCATATAGAGTGTACGTAATATGTGCGAGAGATGACAACATTCTTAGAAATAAAGACCCGTGAAGATCCGGGTTAGAATTTATCTTCAGCAACCCATGCTTGACCTGGTTGACACATGTCGCATCCCAGTTGCGTAGATCGATTCCCATGCTGTTGTTCACTGTATTGTCTGCAGCTGGTTCAGCAGACGGCCGCCTTATAGCTGTAGTATTGTTGCGGGGTTAAATAACAAACCAACCAAACAATCTTAGAAATCAGGTTTTTATTCATATTCAGCATGTAGACCTACATGCACGTGTTTTCATATGCACATTTTTGCTGACATGTGTTTGTAGTCAGCATTAAAGTATGTATAAGGGTAAAGTAAGACTGGATGTGATACATTTACATCACCAGGTACACTCAAGTTTACATGTCCGTGTTTATGTGGGGTTTCACATCTCGAACTATCCGTTGAGACTCCCAGTGTCAACACTGTTGAATCGGATAGAGCTTCATGTTGAAATACTATGAATGAATGATGCGAGCCCTGATGTATACATATGTTGCTGTGGGAGTTTGTATTACGCTATTGCAATATTGTACTCGCGCCGTGGTGTGTTATGAGATATATTCTTCATATACTGAATACTCAGATACAGTAGCATATCCCAGTTGGGTATCGTCTAAGTACACCGTGCGCATACCTACACAGAAACCAATTGCAGTCTGATTAATATTCATGTAACGGACTGAGTTCATCTCAAAGAATATTTGGAAATACTTGTAATCGATTCCACGAGTACAATGTGTACTGAATCACACTACGATATGTCAAGTTGAGACCACGCAGAGTTGCGTTCGCTATGTACATATGCAGTATGGGATCTTGAAAAGCATAGCCTTACTAAAACATTATCTTGTGTTGTTAGTCTTGTGGGGTTTACAATTCAAATAACATACGGCACTATCTTTAAAACCACAACAATGGGTTCGTCCCAAGACTGTTGCAAGGGGCTTTACTCTCCGTCCGTAGAGTAAAAGTGACAAGCGGTATGAATATGTTAAACATGACGGCTACTGGAATAACTAACTACCCTTTTCTCAAAAGGACTGAGTTTGAGACATCTTAGGCTTGTTCCGACGAATTCCTGCGGGGTTTACTAAACATTCCCGTATTTAAATTATACATGGTGTACAGTCAGACAAAGTAAACTCGAAGACATGTCTATTATGCTACAAAATAACAGGACTCGATTACAGCTGAAACAAATTCCACTGAAAACACAGTCTTGTAAATTCTAATGAACAAGTATTTACTGACAGAATACACGTCTGAAGATAAAACTTTAATGTTATAAACAAAAGTACTTAAAATACATTTCCATAGTAGCAACCGTACAAAAAATGGGCTTTTGGAGATTTCTTATGATTACTGTAGGATAATGGTTTTAGTTAGCTTTTATACGCTGAGGATTGAAACACAATCGTCAGAATGGCAAAGGAATCGCCGCTAATTATACATATTGCCACGCATTCAAATCACAGTACACACGGGAATATATTAAATCCGGGAACGATCAAATTTGATTCAAACATTTAGTGTCACACTGTGACAGTGGAATAAATAAAAACGAAAAGCATTTCCACAATCTTTAGATGTCTAGATAAAATCGAGTCCATGGTAGGATCCTAACTGTATAAGCCAAATGTGATTATATCTGATGGTCGCGAAAGGGTTAGGTCAGCGATAGCACCTGCAGCAAGCATCAAGGTTGGGAAACACTTCAAGGCAGAACAAGACACAAAACGCTTGAAAGTACAGTAATGCTGTATATTAACAATATCAAACTAATTGAAAACAAAACCATGGTTAATCTTGTTTTACCACCCAGTGTCCTTTGACAGCAATTCACAGAAAATTATTTCTATCTTGTCTGATGCAAAAGAGTGAGCGAGTATGGTTTTACGCCGCTTTTAGCAATATTCCAGCAATATCATGGCGGGGGACACCAGAAATGGGCTTCACACATTGTACCCATGTGGGGAATCGAACCCGGGTCTTCGGCGTGACAAGCGAACGCTTTAACCACTAGGCTATCCCACTGCCTGATGCAAAAGAAGGCCTTTTGGATGGGTGGGGCGGGGGTAGGGCGTGTGTGGATGGATATCGGTGATGCCAGGCTTACTATACCCACTAGGACGCTACCGCACCTACAAAAATTATTCTATTTTCAGCTCTTAAGACATCGAGTGAGTGAGTATGGTTTTACGCCGCTTTTAGCAATATCAAGACGAGAACATCAGAAATGGGCTTCAAAATTGCAACCATGTGGGTAATCGAACCCGGGTCTTCGGCGTGACGAGCGAACGTACCAAACACTTCAGTAGCAATGTAGGCGACTATGTGAACGAACATCAGTCAAATTTTCATCCACCACATTGGAATGTATTCAGTCAACACAGGATGATCGGCAGTCACATTTTTGCTCTCTCATATGGGGTTGAGTCACATCCGGAATTCGAACTCAGACTTTCCGAGTTAGGCACAAGCACAGAAAGTCAACGCTCAACCCACACAGTCCCAGTCGTTTCCAGAAAACAGCAGTCTGACCGATGGAAGTCAAGATGCTGTGTGTAGCCCTCTTGACAGATGTAAATTGCTACAACTCCCATCGTCACAAGCTGTGAACACACAGGACACGATGGTTAAATGGAACATGTTAGATTTGGAGTTTCACTTTCCCAATAAAGTACAGATTCTAGTACTTTTAGGAGTTGTGTATTGTGAGTGAGTGTGTATAGTTTTACGCCGGTCTTAGCAATTTCACGGGGACACCAAAGATGGGTATTGTGAGCTTTAGGCATGTATTGAGATAGTGTAATCCCAAATATAACATGTTTCATTTGACCATTTTCTGAAGAGCATTGTGTATTCATTCATAATAAGATTTCATAAAATTATGGTATTTCTATATGACAGAATACGTCTCTGGATGTTAAAAGTTGTAGATCAAATTAAGTTAAATGCATTTCTGTCTCTTTTCTTTTATATACATTTCGATATGTTTCGATGAGATATACATTTGAATGTTTAAACGGGCGCTTGTTTTCTATTATATATGTATAGTTTACATTGAAACAATCAAGTTTCTATAAACCAATTCAAAGCATAACCTTAGACCATTTATTACTAATGGTTGCCGCTCAACGTCACTGGGGATAAAGTAATTGTGAATATAATCCCTTCATCAACCAAAGGTTACAACATATACCAGTAGTTCTGGAGTACTACTTTACCTACCATCAGTTGGACAATACGAAATAACAAACATGGTATTTGATCAAAAGCATTTTCAAAGTTTGATAAATTGCAAACTATTTAACCGCTTGCAAACCTATTTTATGTCAGTATGAAACTTGCTTTAGGGTCTGCGCGAGATTAATTTTTCACTGTTAACCAATGTGTGTATAGAAATAGGAATTACTGTCCCAATGAATGGACAAATACAAATGACATTTTACAGCGTGATCCTTGTTCAGTTATTTTCCGGTGAGCATTTAAGCATTAACCGTACCGTTGTAAAAACACTGACTGCCCATTGTATGGAAGGTTTAACCTCACATTCCCCACATCTGAATGTTTGGATAAGGGATTAGAAGGTCACTGGACTGTGGATGTTGGACTATGGTCTGTTCTAATTAGTGTCACTGGTGAACACTTCTCACTGTCAGTAGAAGGGAGCAAAGGCCAATGATAAATTGTGAACTGTTTTAATAGGTCTTGATGTAATAATGAATTTAAAATAAAAACAAATAAACTATTGGATTTTGTTGGACTGTAAGTTGTTTTACTGTATGTTTAGTGCTATGAGTATCACCTTACTATCAAACTGTATATAAATATTTATACTATTAAATGTCTTACCAAGTGTTACCTTGTTTCTTGCTACAGACTATACCTTAATCCCCCTTTGTTAACTAATTGGTCATGGCCTGGTGGACCCAGACTCTGAACTCTTTGTTTGTATTTCTCCTATTAGTTTCCACTAAAACTTTTAGGGCCTTTGGCATTTCTTAAAACTTTATCGCAAAATTACCAAATACTAAGTTTCGGGAAATATCTAGATTATGATCTGGAAACATATATTTTTAATTATGTAAAGATTATTCACTTACAATCTTAGGATGTCAGCGTATCTTGAAATTTAATGATCGCTGACTACATTTTTTGTCATATGTAAGTTGAAATTTAGTATCTTGAAATTTCAAATCAGTGATTTTGAAATATTATACAAAATGAAAAAAAATGGCCATTAAAGGCTTCCGTACTTTTTACCCTAATATCTAAAACCTTCCAACTGACATGAAGTGGAAATGTTCCTCAGGGAAATGCATCAGTTCTTCTTTTGTTACTATTGATTAACATTGAAGATAGCTGTTGGCCTTTGATGGATTTTTTATAAAGTAATTGGTTTCGCAAAATACTTGTTAAAATAATTACGCCTCATGACTATCAATATGTGTTTTTTCGTCTTTTAAAAAGCTGGCATGGTTCGTGATATTGATGAGTACAACAAACATGATAATGGAGATATGGTTTATTGATGACTTTTTGTGAACGTTAAAGCCAGATGAACCAAAGCACGACAGACCGGTCGAACATACAACGTTGTATTCTTAATTATTTTCAGTAGGTATATAGCGGATGTCAATTAACAAGTGTGACTGAGTATGTGGGGTTTACGCCACTTTTAGCAAAATTCCAGCAATATCATGGCGGGGATACCAGAAATGGGTTCAACACGTTGTACCCATGAGTGGAATCGAATTCGGGTCTTTGCCCTGACGAGCCAACGCTTTAACCATTAGGCTATCTCATCGCCCCTCAAGAAGCTTTGTCCGACTGGATGCAAGATAGGCGTCATTCTTTCGACCAATGTTTATATGATGTTTGATTAAGCAACCAAATAACTACTGACTGACCAACCCATGAAGATCCGGGTTAGAATTGTTTCTTCAGCAACCCATGCTTGTATAAGGAGGCGACTAAAGGGATCGGGTGGTCAGGCTCGCTGATTTGGTTGAGACATGTCATCGTATCCTAATTGCGTAGATCGATGCCCATGATGTTGATCACTGGATTGTCTGGTCCAGACCGCCGCCATATAGCTGGAATATTGCTGAGTGCGGCGTAAAACTAAGGGCAATGGAGGCTTTTGTGGTAAACCTGGTCTAAAAACTTAAAATCTGACGTATGTAAATAAATAATGAATGAAATCAGTGAGTGTTATATTCCGACATCCAGAAGTTAAACCCTGTTGAAATTGTATCTCTAAACTTTAGACTAACTGGATCGGGTGGTTGGGCTTATGGATGCATGTCGTCTATCCATATCGATGTTCATGATATCAATCACTGACTGATTATCAGGACTCGAAAACATTTTTTAAAAATCCCGTGTTGAAAACAAATACAACTGGAGTGCGGTGTTAGGAAAGAAACATCAAAACAATTGTCCTGATTAACGCTTGGTGACGTCAGAATACGTCAAATGCTCAATACCACAACGTCACGTCATTGGACTTTTTAATAAACATCATATATTGGAATTTGTTACGTATATTGCTGGTATCATATCGAGAAATGAATTAATTGTCGCATGCTTAGGAATAAAAACCATATGAAAATGTTTTTGAGTGTACTGTCAGGGCGATATAACGCTGCAGGTAAAGTCCTGCAGCAGTATCTTGGAGACTGAGTACAGAGCAGGATGTAAAGTGTAGAGTTCTTTACTACTACAAGTTTTCAGTTATCACTAGCCAAACAAAACATTAAATAATGAAACAGTTTTGTGTATTACGGATGTAGTGTTGGGTGACTGCATTCCAAAATGTTATTTTGTGGATCATGTTCATACGAAATTTCATTCCTTCACGTCGGCCACGTTAATATAAGAGTGTTCGTCATGGACCCGAATCCATAAAATATTGAAATGATTCACCTGATGAGGGAGTAAGAATGTACTTCGAAACGTCGTGTCCATCACAATAAAGAAGTTGACATCCATCAAATTCTTGCCTTTAATAAAGCTGTGGTAAAGTAAAACCGAAATAAATTGATTTTGAAGACAATAAATCCGCAAAAGTACGGCTGAACAAATATTTTTCTTCAATTTCCACAAGAAATGATGACGGGCAATGATCAAGGTTCAATTGGTTATCGACGTTTTAAAAATACCAATCAACTGTGCATTCTATTCAGTGTGACTCTGAAGAATCTTTTGTGCAGACAAATTACCCTAATTACAAAAACGATCAGCCGGGCAGGCAAAGTGATGATTGATGACCTCACTATCATCTACTGCCTAAAGAGAATGCACAGTAAGTCATTTTAGTATGCTTGTGTGTCTAAGGGGTCATAGCAATTGAGATTGCGTTTGTTTAGAATACATCCAACATGGCCGTGGTAGCAGTTCAGTTTCTCTCAGTGTTCTTAATATCAGCGATCAAAGCCAAACCTACATCGGATCACTGGACAGCAATGGATCTGAGATACGATACATCATACCTCGAGCTGATTGGAGAAGTAGCTACTGTGAGTAGGGCGACGTGTGCGGCGAAAAGCCTCAGCAGCAACGCCACTGCTTTTGGCTACGTGAAGGACGAACTACGCTGTCTTCTTCTGAAAGTTGATTACCGAGTGGCACATCCATGGACGCCTCCGCCGGGAATAGCGTTCTTTCTCCGAGACGAAGGTAAAAGTTTGTGTTTGCACGTTTTAACAGCACTCACTATTTAATGGATGTTTAACGCTGCATACTTTGTGATAATACAGGTAAGACATTGGAAAGTTTATACCAGACAGATACATTACTGACAACGACCAAACTCTTTTCTTCAGGTGAGTCACAATCAGAAAGGTGACATTGATGTCATCACCTTTATGCAAGGTGGTTCTGGGGCAGTGGGGTAGTGTTTGCTCGTCACATCGAAGACGCGGGTTTGATTCCCCACATGGGTACAATGTGAAGCCCATTTCTGGTGACCAAGTCGTTATATCACTGAAATATTGCTGAAAGCGGCGTAACCCATTCTTTCGAGAACCAAATTGAACACGCCATTTGACTAGAATTCCAAGAGTGTTGCTTTCCACAATATTATACATTAAGTACCCGAGTGTCTACGTGTGGTTTAATTAAATCATTCCATATTGTGACATGGAACAATCGAGACATTGAATGACCAGTTTAACTGACGACTATTTAATGCCAAAATCAATTTCACCTGAACATTAATCTTGTTGCTACCTGTCCAAATCGGGCCGAACCATATCATTTTTAAAAAGGTGTTACCATTGGAACGTGCTTTATAAAGATCTCTTCTTGATGTTTACTTTCCTGAATGAGATGGAGTAATTATTCATCACATACCCATGATCAAACCTATCCAGTTAATGTAGAACACTTAGTGTTATATTGACAAAGAGGTTAACAATGTGTTTCTCATGATAATCGGATCTTTCTATGCAATGCCCCACCTCCCTGCATAAAGATCTAACAATTCGCAAAAGATCAAAGAAGCCAGAGCAGCACATGTGTGATTTCATGAAGTGGAAAAACCCACTGTGGCATTCTCACAGAAGTGCGTCGATGACCCAGAGTTACAAGTTTGTTTGTTGTTTAACGCAATAGTGCAGCTATATGGCGGCGATCTGAAACAGACAATCCAGTGATCAATATCATGAGCATCTATCAGTTGGGATACAATGACATGTGTCAACCATGTCAGTGAACCTGACCACTTAAGACCAATTCTAATCCGGATCTTCACGGGTCCGAGTTACAATTATGTATACAGTATTCATGGTCAATTTTGAACAGGGTTCAAGTTAACCTTCAACAGTGACTGAGTGAGTTTAGTTTTACGCCGTACTCAGCAATATTCCAGCTATATGGCGGCGGCCTGTAAATAATCGAGTCTGGACCAGACAATCCAGTGATCAACAGCATGGGCATCGATCTACGCAATTGGGATTCGATGACATGTGTCAACCAAGACAGCGAACCTGATCACCTGATCCCGTTAGTCGCCTCTTACGACAAGCATGGGTTTCTGAAGATCAATTCTAAACCGGATCTTCACAGGTCGAACCTTCGACAGCAGGGACAAACCTTTGAAAGAATACTGGTTGGTCATCATGATACGAGGGGCAATGAAACATACTTTAGGCCTAGCTAATGTTGTTTTTCGGTCTTATAGTTCTCAACACTTCAAAGGGAGTTAATTTTAATTCAAGAACATATTTGAAAACTATATGTTTTGTCAGACGGAGAAATGCACTTTGCTGAGAACTTGTAATCTGAAATATAACAGTTATCTTACATTTGACTGCTTTCTAAATGGCATTGTGTATTCGTAGCTTTTGGCCATGGGAGCCGAGTCAGTTTACACTTGTCGCAAAGTACGCGACCTTGACTACCAGACTTTGTGGAAGCGGCAGCGGCTGAGTGGGTTAAATCACTGAATTTGTGTGCTGGTGATTAGGTGCCTCACTCTGACAGTGTGGGTTCGAATCCCGGATCTGAATCAACCCCAATGAATCTGTACTTTACTGAGAACATGTTATCCATTTTCACAATTTTCGCATTCCTATGTAGAACGAGAACCTATGGTCGGCGTCAAAATAAAATCTAAACCTGAAAAATGACCTACAAAATCCTTCTTTGCATTGTGCAAGCACAATGGCTAATAGATTGACAGTCATTTCCATAATCTATAAGTAGTTTATTATTTGTTTTCGTTCAATTTATTGAACTTGTAGGCACCCCTGAAGAGCAACCTCCTCGTGGTGGGTGCTGGGTACTGCTAATGGCTCTTTGCCCCGTGTGGACCCAGGGTCGAATAGGTCCACAGCACCCCATTGCTGGTCGTAAGAGACGACCAAATTGGGCAACCCGTTTGCCGTGGGTTGCGCCCCTGTGTCGGCAGAGGAAGGGAGTCTGGTGGTTGAGGATAACGGATCCAGCAATAGTGTTCCTTAATCCAACACACCACTTCGACCCTGACTTTGCCTAGACGGGAGGTAGAATAGGCCCGATTCTACCAATCGGCTGGTCACGCCTTGCTCTGTGCACGGATGGTTTCCACAAAATCTGGTACTACAAAACACTTCTGGACATGTTCAAAATGTTAACTGATATTCTGCCAGAACCAATTAGTCCTGCAGACCCATGCACAGAAGGCGGTGGCTCATGGGCCAATCTGGTGATGCTGACCTCCGATTTCTGTACGTCTCCAATTTATTGTCATGGACCGAACCATCCTGACCTTTAATCTGGTAGACAGCTACATCATTTCATGTCAAATTCACTGGAGTATAACACCCCCTTATCCTAGGTCTTTGCAGCTTGGAGATCCGCTGCAGTATATGATCGTCCTTGTTGACACTCCATGGTGGGTTGGGAGAGGGGGTGCCGTGCCACATTCCTTACGACATGGCTTCCCAACACCTCGGTTCAAAACGAAGACATATGGATTCTGTCAATTCCTCGTCTGACTAGAGTACGCCCATTCGACCTGATTACTGGCCACGCTTTTTAATCATTGAAGGTTGTGACAAGCAACCTTTGCAATTGAACCCATTTGCAGTCTCCAAGGGTATTGCTGGTATCTGTGGAGATGTTGCCAATGTTACCAAGCTCCGATCTGGTTCTCTCCTTGTAGAATGTGCTCGGAGACAGCAATCCTTGAACCTACTGAAATTACAAGAGTTTGTCAATGTAAAGGTTGCTGTCTCAGCGCACAAAACACTGAACACGTGTAGAGGCATTGTACGTGACAGGGCTCGACGCCTGTCTGACATGACTGAGGAACAAATTGTACATGAACTTTCCCAGCAGTCTGGTCTGTCACAGCTCTGAAGAGATTCACCATCAAGAAGGACGGTGTTGTTCAACCAGCAAACACCTATCTGTTTACGTTCGGTGTTCGGTGTACGTCCCCAGTCCACTCCGGTGCTACAACTGCCAAAAGTTTGGCCATGGATCCAGGTCCTGTCGTTCCTCTGCTGTTTGTTACCGCTGTGGTCTTGAACATTTGTTTTTGATGGGTCCCTTTTCGTGGTCGATTTTAATATTTCATGCCGTGGTAAGAACATGCACGCAATAGAAAGGCAGCTACAACTCTGACATAACAAAATCCATAAATAGGCCAATGAAAATGGCTTTAAATTTTCAAAATCCAAAACAAATTGTATTCACTTTTGTCGTAAATACAAACCACACATGGATCCAGACCTATCTTTTCAGACATATCACCAGTATTCCCATCAAGGAATTAGTAGAAGAACTTCGACAGGCCAAATTCCATGGGACTCCATATTCGACCGTCACTTGACATTCTTACCACACATAAAATATTTGAAAACAAAGTGCTTGAAGGCTCTCGACTTGCTAAAAGTCGTTTCAAATACAGAGTGGGGAGGGGATCAATCAGATTACCCCCCTTCACTTGTACAGATCATTGGTTCGCTCTAAACTAGATTACGGCTCCACTGTCTATGGTGGAGCCTACAAAAGCAATTTAGAAAAAATAGATTCTATCCACCACCAAGGCCTTAGGCTCTGCCTGGGAGCTTTTAGGACCTCTCTGGTAGACAGTCTATATGCGGAGTGCAATGAACCATTCACTTGAAAAACGCCGCATTAAACTTTCACTGCAGTATATCACTAAATTACGTTCAAATGAGTCCAATCCATCATACAACTGTGTTTTCAACCCTCTCTATGAAAACCTGTTCCCTAATCTGCCAAGCCTGGTTCCACCACATGGAATCAGAATTCAACCACACATACCTGCAGCTAAAATTGATCTCAATATCATAGCACCCTACCGACTTCTGTCTTCGCCACAATGGCAGATGGCGAAACCACAGGGCGATCGTTCCCTCACCAAACTCAAAGAGTCTGAAACAAATCCTTTGATGTTCCAACAGGAATACAACCAGTTACGTTCCAAGTATGACTGCCACAGATCCATTTTCACAGACGGATCCAAGGATGATGGCCAAGTTGCCAGTGCTACAGTCATTGGATCCAAGACTGTCTCCTCCAGAATTCCTGACAACAGTTCCATTTTCACGGCTGAGGCCAAAGCTATCCTCACGGCTTTGACCTATATTAAACAGCAGAATCATTCCAAAAACTTTATCGTTTTTACAGATTCACTATCTCAAGCACTTCAAAATGTTACTTCAAATCACCCTATCATCCTAGACATTTTAGAACTTTACAATGATCTTTCTACTGGCCAATGTGACATCGTCCTCTGCTGGTTGCCGGGTCACGTCGGCATAGCAGATAACACAAAGACCGATGCTGCAGCTAAATCAGCTCTTATCAAGCCCTTATCTCCACTGCTATCCCGTACAGTGATTTCAAACCCACTATCAAAAGTTATACTCGGGACCTTATGCAAAAAAGGTGGGACACCCAGGTAGGAAGAAATAAACTTCATGAATTGAAGCCAACAATTGGTTATACCTACTTGGGTTGTCAGTCAAGACGTGATGAGGTAGTTCTACGACGATGTCGTATTGGCCACAGTCGGTTTACACATGACTATCTGCTGAAAACGGATGGAGATGGACCTCCCATGTGTGTCTCTTGCGATGAAGTGTTCACCATCAAGCATATTCTGCTTGACTGTGTGGACTTTTCGACTGCAAGGGATTCACATTATGATGCGAGAAATCTGAACGATCTGTTTTCCCGCGTGAGCGGGCATCATCATTGTTAGCTACCTGAGGGAAGTTGACCTGTACCATAAATTGTAACCATGTAATGTGAATGACGGATTGCTTGTTTTTTTAATTTGGTACTGTGACGGTTTCTGTTTGTAAATAATAATGCATTGAATATATTTGTTTATAAACTAAAACTCATTTGGACTTTGTACTTGAAATATCCATGAATACAGACTTGTTCTCATCACTATATGGCTGGAATAATCCCGATGTGACGTAAAGCCCAACTCAACTCAACTATTGAACTTGTAATAAGAAATCATTTGAAAGTTTTAATTGATGTGGTATGAGACAGAGAGATATTGTATTTGCGTCTCACTGCTGTACATCTTAAAAAGAATATATGTACACTCATAACACTTGGTACAATAAGCACAGCGCCACTCATATACAACATATGCACGCAGGCATTTTATCCATATATAAAAGCGATTGTTTATCCATATAAAATATGTTTTCTGCGTTGTAGTATTAAAAAGCAGGTTTTGGCAGTAAGACAGACCTCGTGTTTTAAAAAGGACACTTAACTTATAGTGTTTTGAAGAAGTTAAAAAGTTATCATGTACGGGACACTGTAATAAAACATGCTCTTCATCTTCAATAAATCCATTACAGTTAACAAACTCTATCCTCAACATTTAAATTCGTATATCTGCCCGTTTCTATTCTTAAAGGTGCAATACCACATCTAAATTGTGCAAAGGCCGAATGGTAATTCCGAGGCATAAAAGTGCTCACATAACTTTGACATAACTTTCACTACAATTAAAATCTAAAAAGATCTGTATGTACGGAGCTTACTTCTACTATTCATATCATTATGTTTCCATAAACGATCTTGCCAATGTTGACATAGTTGTTCATTATTGAATTATTGAATGAAATTAAACTATGAATGGAGAAAACAGTCAACAGTTTATCATTGACCTCGTCAAGGCGGTATGGGATGTGACTTGGTTTCCATCACAACGCCCATGCCGACGCCAGGAGGTCTTAAAAGCTAATTAGTTTCATAATAGAACCAATTAGTATTTCAAATGTAAATTGCCTTGCAGCTCCGCGCAGTGTTAAAACGTTCTACTGAGGAACTGCGTTGCTTCGCACATACTTGCAAATTGTCGTGGTGCTTCTTGCAGGCCACACGAAATACATTTCAAGAGTGAGTGAGTATGGTTTTACGCCGCTTTTAGCAATATTCCAGCAATATAACAGAGGGGGACACCAGAAATGGGCTTAACTCATTGTACCCATGTGGGGATTCGAACCCGGGTGTTCGGCTTGACGAGCTAACGCTTAGACCACTAGGCTACCCCACCAGCCCACATTTCAAGACTGCAACAGGAACACAATGTTTGTGACATGTAAATCACGATGAAAACGCTTTTCAAAATATTTACGTTTTGTTTTTATCCCAAATCATATTATGCGGAGAATATAGTCAACGCCTCGTCTGTCCGTTTGTAATCATTTTGTTTCCAGAGCTAAACTAAAAAACCCTTCAATATTTTTCAACACAAATTCGTATATATGTCAAAAAAACTAAAGTGGTCCCTTTTTACAAATTTTTGGCATTTTGAATTTTCTCGCTTCTCATGGAAACAATTTTGGCCCCAACATTAGAGGTTGGAGCGTAACTGAAAAACCTCATCAAAACGTGGCACATACTCTCTTAAAAAAAGAAACGCACAGGCTTTCGCAGCAGTTCATTTTGATATATTTTGACAGCAATCGTCATTAAGACAATTCCTATATTTGAATCCCCTTAATCATGTCGTGGCTGTTGTGTATTGCGCGCAAACACAGCCCAAAGTGTGTTCTTAAACGTTTGTCATAAAAATGAAAACGATACATTAAAACCGCATGCAGAAAAAGCTTTCCACGTAATGCACGTGCAATATGTTGAAAACATGGGTAGGGACATGACTAAAAAGGCCAAACCAAATTCATCATTTCATTACGAAACGAAAGACAAAAAATGCCAATTCAAGATTGAATGCTACTGACCGAAATATCGCCATTGGACGTTTGGAAGTAGGGGAGTCCCAGTTTACCGTTGCAAGACACCTCAACGTCCACCGCAGCACCATATCTCGATATACCCGCTTCAATTCGAATTTTAACCGCCAGAGGGAGCTATTTCAACACGTCAATGCTCGACCCCACACAGCTCGTGTAAAAGGTGCCTTTAATCGCAAATGCAAACGTCAATGTCCTGACCTGGCCTGATCTGATTTGAACCCGATCGAGCATCTATGGGGCGAACTTGATCGACACGTCTACAAACGTCACCATCGTCCTCAGACACTTGCAGACTTGCCAACGCGTTGCAAGAGGAATGGCGGAGACATCCACAGGAAAAATACTTCGATATCGGTGTCGGCTGCAAGGGGTTGTGTCACCAGGTACTGACCTGAACGCCCTCTTGTGTCCACACATGCGAGTGAGTGAACTGAATTAATACTGACAATGACAACAATACATACACTAAACGCCAAAAGAAACGTTACCCTGCTACCTTTATGAATTACTGAAAAAGTATCAAAGATATGTTAGAAGGTATTAGTTTACAAGAAAGCTGAACAACACAGCTTTAAGCAAATCACGAAAAAGAATTCTCAAATGCATTCATGTTTAGGTGAAATGCATCTTTTTCAGAAGAATTAAATTGTCCTAATTTCGACCATGCCGAAATAAACCAATAACAGTGATTTAGATGTCCAAAAGAAAGGTTGAAATAAAATTCTGCTTTGAGACAAAGATAAACCATGTAATGTCACCATTTTTCAACTATTAAAACAAGAAACAACTGTTGTAGAGTGTCTAAAATAAAAGAATAATTCCTATGATTTCTGTCTTTTAAAACATTTTCTTCTGATTTGCTTTAGTAAAAAACTAGTAAAACGTGTCTTTGATATTGTGAAAAAGTGTTTTGGAACATCTAAAATTATCTTTGTTAACATTTTTGCTTGCAAAGTAACATATTTCCGTTTTCTGTGTACACATAGCTATTGCAATCGCAAATACGTTGCAATATTCAAGGAGTAGTTGCATTCATTTCACGTGTAGAATGATTCTATAGGGTATAAAGGAGACTAGAATGCATGATATGATACACAAGTACGAGAAATATGCCACGATTAACAGCTGAAGAGAGAGAAAGAGCCATTGGGAAGTGGACGTCCACATCACAACGCCAGCTGAAGATAGGTACCTCCGTTTGACTTTGATGATGGTGTTTTTAGCCATATATCTAAAACTAATAGGTATTCGTTCATACCTGTTCGCTTACAAACACCAGATTGTCAAATGGCGTCTTGTGCTGCTTGGGTTGTTAAGAATTTATGTTTTGTCCGTTTCCATGGCAGCGGGTTTGATTTTGATTCAAGTTTTTCGGGACCATAACTCGAAAGAGAATTCTGGCTGCTCTATCCTACTTATTAACAGTATCATGCAGATACGTTAACCTGCATTCTTACAATATTATACGTTATCCTGCTTATTTACCGTGTGTGTATGCTATCCTGCATATTTACCGTGTGTGTATGCTATCCTGCATATTTACCGTGTGTATGCTATCCTGCATATTTACCGTGTGTGTATGCTATCCTGCTTATTTACCGTGTGTGTATGCTATCCTGCTTATTTACCGTGTGTGTATGCTATCCTGCATTCTTACCGTGTGTGTATTCTATCCTGCTTATTTACCGTTTGTGTATGCTATCCTGCTTATTTACCGTGTGTATGCTATCCTGCATATTTACCGTGTGTGTATGCTATCCTGCATATTTACCGTGTGTGTATGCTATCCTGCTTATTTACCGTGTGTGTATGCTATCCTGCATATTTACCGTGTGTGTATGCTATCCCGTTTGTTCTTTACCGTGTGTGTATGCTATCCTGCTTATTTACCGTGTGTGTATGCTATCCTGCTTATTTACCGTGTGTGTATGCTATCCTGCATTCTTACCGTGTGTGTATGCTATCCTGCTTATTTACCGTATGTGTATGCTATCCTGCATTATTTACCGTGTGTGTATGCTATCCTGCATTCTTACCGTGTGTGTATGCTATCCTGCTTATTTACCGTGTGTGTATGCTATCCTGCATATTTACCGTGTGTGTATGCTATCCTGCATATTTACCGTGTGTGTATGCTATCCTGCCTTCTACCAGTTGGGTATGTTATTGTTGTAGATATCAACCCACATCCATGTATATCCTGGTGCCCCTTTTGCATGCCAATTCTGGAAACTCCAATGACGTGGTCTGACGCTAGAGCTGCTTGTAGACCGACCGCCTATCTCATGGAATACTATGATCTAGTCGAGTACAGATGCATTGTGATGCAACTCCAGTACCTACGTAAGTGTACACAACATCTGAGTGAGTGAGGGAGTGGGAGAGGCACAACACAAAGATAATCTTCGGCCCATTGACTTAATAAACATGGTGTCGTTCAATAAAATACAGATGATGATTTCGATATCATGATTATTTTGTGTCGTCCGACACTACTATTAACCTTTCATTTATAGGGAAGCCAACTTCGAATCTGTACTGGGTCGGTGGCCGTTACACTACCAACTGGAGGTGGATAACTTATCGCCGCATCCTTGCAAGTCTGTGGGCCCCAGGGGAACCAAATCCATCAAATGAAGGCTGCACGCTGTTCGACCCTGGGAACAACTACGCCCTCTTCTCAGCCGACTGTTCAGAAAAACATTATGCACTTTGTTACTATGACTGACAAGTTCCAAGACTGACAGCTACACACAATGAATTACCTTTTTAGCATTTTAGCCGTTTTACAATTCCACATTTCTGTACAGGTGAAAGAATCTTAACATTACAAATGCTTCGAAAGTGTGTTTAGTTCTATGTATGACCTACTTTAAGATATAATTATCAGCAACCATTCTAGTTTCTATTACACTCGGAACAGGTGGTGTAGTGTAACGGTTAAAGCACTCGCTTGTCACCCCAAGGGCCAGGGTTCGAATTCCTTCAATGGCATACAGCCTTAAGTCCATCTCTAGTGTCCCCGGGCGTAATGTTTTTTTCAGGTAAATTTATTTTCCCTTGCATGTGTTAATGAAGGGTGCCACCTGTGGTACGGTTACGCTCACCTTTAGTGTACAATCGACTATGATTTTGACAGATTTCTCGTATGTATGGGAAGGGTTTTGTCGTATATACTTCCATATTTGAAAGAATTACTGTGAAACAAAGATTTTAACTACAGTGTCAGATGTAAAATTACATACGATAGACGTCTTACACAGAAATTAGGGTTACAATTGCACATGGCCATTTTTCATATGAAAACTGGAAATAGGGTTTTTACCAGAGTAAATTAAGACGTAAAAAGAATCCGAATCTTTGGAATAAATGCAAAGAAGTACTACTGGCCGTACATGTCCAAGCGGGTCATTTCGTCAGAGTTCATATAACTACCTACATTAATGTCTAGCTTAAAGACAGAAAGAAGTTTTATTCAATATTTAAGGCCATATGACCAAAAGTACAGTTGTGGATTTGCTTTACATTGTATACTTATATGTCCATGTGAATGTACATACATACATATATTAACGTCTTATTTCAAAAATACCTTTTTTTAGGAATATTGAAACAGATAACATTACGTTGATGTATCTTGAGTTTAACAAGTTTTTCATTAGTTCATCTTTGTACACAGCTGAGATCATAGGGAGGTATCTGTTTCTAAGAAATTGGTAATGTTTACAAATGAAAACTACATGAAACTCATCCTCCATATAGCCTTCATTGCAGCAATGACAATAACTATTATTTCCATGCATCATGTACATTTTTCTTTTTAAGATTATTAACGTTGAAATTGTGTAATAATATTTGTAATTTACCGAAAGCTCTTCTTAAAGTTCTATCCTGTAGTTTGTCAAGCTTAAAGAGCATTATGGAAGGAAATGTTACTTAACGTACGACGTGTTATAGGCTATGCATGTGTAAGGTATCAGAATAATTTGGTTGATGAATTGTTAAACGGTATATAACGTTCGCCGAGACAGATTCCATTGGGCGTGAAAGGCAAACGTCAGTTGAACACATGGCTCTTTAATAGTGAGTGAGTGAGTTTAGTTTTACGAAGCTTTTAGCAGCATTCCAGCAATATCACGACGGGGACACCAGAAATGGGCTTCTTACATCATGTGGGGAATCGAACCCGGGTGTGACGAGAGAACGCTTTAACTACAAGGCTACCCCACCGCCCCGACTCTTTATTACCAAAAGAAATATCAAATATACGTTAAAATGTTCACTCTTCCATTAAGGAAAGTAAATGATTTAACTAAAAAAAATGTCTATCACAGCAGCTGTCAGATTTCGCTAAGCACCAATCGATAATTGTACACAAAAGTACATATTTTCACTGAAGTGTACTCAGTCATATGTTCATCCCAAATATGCATACAATTGCCTTTTATCTATTTCAGTGAAAGCTGAAAGTCAGTAAGTCCCTGTTACTTAATATTCCCTTGAATAAAATGTGTTTCCAATAAATCACGTTTTCAGTATTTTGTAACACGCACCTGCAAAATAGCTGACCCCTAGTTATGGACATATATATATAGTGCAGGTACCAATACCACGGCAGGTATTTCAAGGAGGTGTACGTGTCTTGATGTTCCCCGTCGAGAAATGACCATTCGCACAAACAGAATGTAATGAAAGTAATCAAGCATATAAGCGACACCTATACGAACTTATTAATGGTTCGATCCGGGATCCGGGTTCGAATTGATGTTCAGCAACCAATGCTTGTCGTAAGAGGCAACTGACGTGTGTACGTGTGTGTGTGTGTGTGGTGTACCTGACCTGGTTGTCACATGTCATCGTATCCCAATTGCGTAGATCGATGCTCATGCTGTTGATCACTGAAATGTCTGGTCCAGACTCGATTATTTACAGACCGCTGCCACTTAGCCGGAATAGTGCTGAGTGCGGTGTTAAGCAACAATAAGCCAACCAACCAACCAACCAAGACCTCATTTTCACATTTATCAGATCGTAATCTCCATTGTGTTCGTACCATTCAAAACATTGATAATACTATCCATTTCATGACATCACAGATCTGTAGAGGAGTGGGGTGTCTGTGTTAAACTATAGCCTGATATCACCTAGCACTGTATAACCATCAGATACGCGAAGTAGTGTAAATAGTGGATACTAAACGACCTTCGGTGTATTGCCATTTATTAAATGTTTTGTATCAAACAAGTGAAAGCATTTTAATAAAAATGGTATTTCACGGAAGCGAGTTTAGTATTCTGTTAATTACTCTCCAGCATAAATTGATAGAAACTGCCTACAGTGTGATGACTCTCAGCTTTAAAGCAAGGTCTAATACCATTGTGACAGAGGTATCATCATTGTGACGTCATAACTTTAAACCATTATGAGTGAGTGAGTGAGTTAAAATTTACCGTCACATCGGCAATATTACAGCCATATCGTGACGAGGATTTGAATAATAAACCCTGTCAATGACGGACAGTAAAATAACTAGAGGATCACAGCTATAGATATAAAACTAGTATGAAAAAGTAAAAACTTTTAACAAAAGAAGACAATACAATATAAAAACAGGCTATATATTGCCAACAACTGAAGGTAGATCACCATACTAGGGACCATGGGGACTGGAACCATTATGACGTCAGTGGTATTACTTTAAGGGTAACGCTATTTTTCAAGGCATGATAATGCCCTGAAAAATAGCGTTACTGTTATTATACCTAAAATGGATAGAATGATTGATAAAATATAAACAAACAACGGTATTGGTTTTGAAGCATTTACTGCTCGCTTTTTACAAATAAGGTACATCATAAAACAAAACAGATGACATCACTATTGAGAGTGACTACATTCGACCTTGACCTTTGTCCATACTACCAGCCGCCATTTTTTTCAATGCTCAACAACGTTAGAGTTCCAGTCGATGTTGTCATTGCCGCATGTTGTAATTTATGGTACAATTGTAAAGGTTGGCACCGACAAGAAAGTGCATAATGGCACAGGTACACGTGACGAATGTGAGTCAGATATATCGTCAATAATGAACCCAAGTTCAAACGAACCGTAGGTGATTGACATCAAGAGCTGAGCTCACCTAACAACGGGCATGATAATGGCCCGTCGTCAAGCAATTTGGGGGCATTGTCAAGATAGAGTGGCCCGCTCATTTCTGATAACATGCAGGCGTGTTAATGATTATTCTATCCATTTTAGCTACATTGCCGTAAAAATATTACACTGCAGTATCTTCCACGGACGAGTAATAACCATCCACACACAATTGCATGCCAAGTCGCTATTACAGGTTAAACAGTCTTGAATGTGTTGCGAAACCTCTCCTCTCACTATTCACCTCTACTAAAAAAGTACATAATCAGACCCGACAATTACACCATCGAGAAAGAGAAGCAAGAGAATTTCAAATAAATCTAAATAACATTGAACAGTGCCTAACAATATGATATTATATTGATAAATGCACGTCATTTAACAGTGCTTACAGCTCACCCGATTCTTTCATGATAACATATTTATACTGTTATGGCAACTGAAAACTTAATGCGCATTAATGGAACCAAAGGTCTTTATTGTACAGGGCCATTAACCTTAGAACGGTCAGCCAAGTGCTTCTTGATGGTTTCACTTTAGCTTTCTATAACTTCCTATTTGCTATCATCCATTTGGTATCTAAGCACTGTGTGTTAATAAGAGCAGTTCAAATTCCTAGCTTTCATGCTGGTTCAATATACTCATGGTAAAGGTTCAGATGCTCTCGGTGGTCTTGATATCAGCGATCAAAGCCAACCTTACATCGGATCGCTGGACAGCAATGGATCGGAAATACGATACGTCATACCCCGAGCTGACTGAAGAAGTAGCTACTGGAGTAGGGCGGCATGTGCGGCGAAAAGCCTCAGCAGCAACGTCACTGCTTTTGGCTACGTGAAGGAGGCCGCCACCAGAGATTGCGTTCTTTCTCCGAGACGAGTGAGTAAGTAAGTAAGTAAGTGAGTGAGTTTAGTTTTACGCCGCTTTTAGCAATATTCCAGCAATATCACGGCGGGGGACACCAGAAATGGGCCTCATACAATGTACCCATGTCGGGAATCGAACCTGAGTCTTAGGCGTGACGAACGAACGCTTTAACCACTAGGCTACCCCACCACCCCCTTCTCCGGGACGAAGGTAATCTGTTGTCTGAGCACTCACGATAGTGAGGACGATTAACGTTGTAGCCGACAATATTATACGGAGAAAACAAGGGCGTGTAAGTCGAGTCTAGACCAGACAGGCCTGTGATTGATGACATGAACAACGGCCGATGTGTTCGGTTGCGATGACACAATCAGAAAGGCCAAGTCATAACTCGTTCCTTATTTCAAGTGGCTCTTTTGACAAACAAACACGCGTCACGGTCTCTGTGACAATATCCCCTGGGTTCTTGTCACAAAGGTATGCTCTTGGTAATTATTGATTTTTCAGACAATAAGCACTTTAACTTCCGGCAATTTCCTAATTTAATGAAAAATATGCATTTTTAACGTTAATTTGGTTAATGCCCTGACCAGATCAGACAGCTCCATACAATATTTAAACGATGTTACTCTGTAGAGAATGCTTTATTGTTGCTATATGGTCGGTGTTGAAAATCACTCTCAAAGGCAAGGACACAAATATTGTTGTCTATCAGTCTCAAATGGAAAATGGCGTCGATACATGTCTCTGAAACTGACAGTCAATACTCAGAAGTCTTTTATCTTGTCCTGCACACAAAAGGTAGATGCTACGATTTTCAAATAATATTTTTATTTGGTTCTACAGTACATATCCTTACCTGTGTCATTTATCATAATTCGAATTTATCAAACACCAGAAACATTTAAAACCTTACTCTACGTCTATCGATCCAATGGTATCCATCAAATACTGAATTTAAATGCAGCCAAAAGTACGAAGTAACAGAAAAAAGGTCGTATTAATCGGGATGACTTTCTAAGTTCCAATTTCAAAGATCGGCAAGTATTTTGTGAGTTTTCCCATTGATCTGGTACAGTTGGCCTGCGTATTTACCGAGGGGTATCCTCTGCAGATATCAACCCGCATCCATGCATATCGTGGTGCCCCTTTTGCATGCAAATTCTAGAGACTCAAATGACGTGGTCTGACGCTAGATCAGCTTGTAGACCGACCATCTGATGGAATACTATGATCTAGTCGAGTACAGATGCATTGTGATGTGTACACAACATCTGAGTGAGTGAGTGAGTTATGTTAATTGTATCGTATCATATCTCATATCATATCATACTGAGTATGCCTTACGCACACTATTTCAGTCACATCACAAAACATCAGCTTCATTATTAGGTCGGTCTGTACCAAAGACTTTTGTACCATGTTGGTAGAACCACCGAACACAGAGTGGAAAATAATATTAGCAAATCTGCCTGTGCATGGAAATTCTACCACGAACACCAAACATCTATTCTAGCTTCACCCCTTCATTTGTAGTATAGATAACCCATTTCAGATCATGTTTTCCGTATTGCTTATTACGTTAAAAAGGTGACATTATCACTTTGAAGTTCAAACCTTTCGATGCGCTATGTCCCTAACTTGCAAAAACTGAAATATGTTAAAATTTCCTTGTACACGAGAACACAAAGACGCCACACTCATCTTTGTCTCATTAAATTTCAAACGCATAGTGTTATTCAATGAAATACAGATGATGATTCCAATATCACGATTATTTTAGGTCGTCCGACACTACTATTAACCTTTCGTTTATAGGGAAGCCAACTTCGAATCTGTACTGGGCCGGTGGCCGTTACACTACCAACTGGAAGTGGTTAACTGGTACAGATATCCTTGAAAGTCTGTGTCCCCGGGAGAACCAAATCCATCAAATGGAAACTGCGTACTGTTCGACCCAGGGAACAATTACGCCCTCTTCTCAACCGACTGTTAAGAAAACCATTATGCGCTTTGTTACGAGTGAGTAAGGTTTTACCTCGCTTTTAGCAATACTCCAACAATATCACGGCGGGGGACACCGGAAATGGGCTTCACACATTGTACCCATGTGGGGAATCGAAC